AAGCTTCTCGGAGCGGTAGTTCTCGTACAGAGCGTTGTTAGTGTTCTCCTTGAGCTCCTCCATGTGGGTGCGGATAAGCATCTGGCGCAGCTTGACGAAGTCGCAGTGCTCCTCGTTGTCGACCTCGACGACACCCCAGGGCAGCGCACGCCCGCGGACCTTACGGCCGTCAACAGTCGTGACCTCGGTGTTGGAACCGACAACGGCGAAGGGAACCTTGGCCATGATCTCCTGGTTCTCCGCGATGGTCTCCTCGTCGTCAAGCTCATACCGTGGGCCCTCGAAGATCTGGATCTTGTGGTAGGCGATATCTGCAAGAATCTGTACTTGTTAGCAGTGCTAGATAGGCAGATGGAGCGACGTACCCTCTTCTTGTAGTTATCAATTTCATCGTCAGTAACGGTGTCGGCCTTGGCAATGACGGGAATCAGGTTGACCTTGGTGTGGAGCTTCTTCATCACCTCAATGTCGATGGGCTTCAGGGAGTGGCCAGTGGGCTGGATGAAGTAAACAACGGCGTGGATGCGGTTGTCGACAATGTTCATGCGGTTGACCTTGTTCTCAGCATCCAAGTAGGCGTCGAAGCGCTGCTCAATGTTCTTGACAATGGGGTCCCAGGACTCATCGTTGTTGATGAAGTCGCCAAAGCCGGGTGTGTCGACTACTGTTAACCTCAGGCGGACACCATTCTCCTCGATATCGGCGCTAATCGACTGGATCGATACGGTCTTGGAGATGTCGAGACTGGGGGGCTTGCGCTCCTTGGGCGGGTACAGCGAAGTGTTGAAGAGCGTGTTTACAAGGGTCGACTTTCCGAGTCCAGACTCGCCTGAAATGACACGTTAGCTCGGATGGACAGTTATTGGGCGGGGGTACACGTACCGACAACCATGACGTTGAAGTTGAATCCCTTGCGCACACTCTTGCGGTGCCACTGGTTGGGCAGGTTCGCAAAACCGACGTAGCCTGTGAGCTTCCTGCGCACGATGTTCATGTCGTTTGCCATGGCAGCTGCGGCCTTGGGATTCTTCGCCGTGATGGTGTGCACCGCTGGAGAGGAGCCGTTAGACATCGACATCGTTTGGTCCATGCCGTATCCGCTGGATGACGCTGGGGGCGATGGAGACGCACGTGTGGGCGGCGCGGGAGAGGTAGCACCGTTGGATTCTACAGCAGAATGTTAGCCAGGGGCCAGGGGAGAGAGATCACGGCCGTCGAGCGCGGCAGCAGCGACCAATGCCAAACAAGTTTGACCCTGCTTGGCGTTGCCCAAGAGCCACCGCGTGTGTGCCTGAGGTGCCAATGATGCCGTGGCTGAGGTGTAGTTGTTGATGTCGCGAGACGGGGGTCGGGGAGAGCTCCTTACCCATGGTGTAAATAGTGTAGTAGAAACGGACGATGGGTCGTCAAGTGAGGGACTTCTGCAGATGAGAGAGCGATGTCAGCGGAGGCTCTCAATGCGTGCTGGTGCTGGCTGCGTGGCTGCTAAACAAATGTAACAACGCGACCAAGCCCAGATCGGGAGAAATAAAGTGAGACAGGCGTGAGGGAAGGGCGACGTACCAGTCAGCGGTAGTTATGCTCTCGAGTGAGTGATGCACTCAAAGCAATGAATTGAAGGTGGTGCAGATGGCTGCGAAGGAAAATGGCGTGGTTGTCCGGAGGCTGCGACGTTGGAAAGGGAAGTCGTGGTGCCGTCCGTCGCTGGGTGGAGGAAAGGGGTCCGCACAGGGATGGGCGCGATTGGAGCAACGCCGAAGCAATGGGCACTAGACCAAAAATCCCCGCGTCACCACTAGCAGCGAGCCGGCGTCGAATACCGCTGGAAATAACACACGACGAGTGGGAGCAGCGCGGGTGAGGGAGAGTGTAGGAGGGATGCAGTTGACACCTTTCACGTTGTTGGAGATTTTGTGCTCTTGTGCACTGCTGCAAGAGGCAGTCGCGAACCGTGCTTCCCAAAGAGGTAGCGTCACGTGTGGGTAATTAGAAGGCACGAGCAACGCGTTGACTAGACATTAAGCGGTCGTTGCTTCCTCACGACTATCTGCCTCGACCCTGACACCGCTGTCGCACCCCAAGGCTGCCGCTCACGCTGCTGCAGCGTGGCACCACAGGACGCGGGATGTGAGACTCGACACCTATCCAGTTACATCGCGTCCATCCCGACCATCGGCATACCCATATCCAGTTCATCGTCTTATCTATGCAAATCAAAGGGTATTTTGCGCATGTCCCAAGCAAACAACTCCAATCCAACGCCGCAGCACCTCGCTATGCAAAGCTCGCCAATGCCCTGTTCAACTCGGTCTTGTCGTACTTGACGTACTTGCCCTTCCCCTTGTCGATCTCCCGGTAGCGGTCGTAGAACCGGTTGTACAGGGGTTCGATGATGTTCTGTACTTCCTTGGAAAGCTGGTTCCGCACTTCGGGCTCCATTGCGTACGCCTTGTGTCGTGTGACGAGATCGTCGAAGCTTGTGTTAAAGTTCTTGAACTTCTCCTTGATTGCATCCTTGTCCTTGGAGCTGAGAGACTTTACGATAGCTGCTGAATCTGCACCGCCTGACGTTGGGCGTTCCTTGCTACGGTTCGTGTACTGCACATCCAACAGGTACCCTGATGGTTCACGCCACGCTTCAAGATACATGGCCGTGCCTTGCTTACGCCAGTCTGCCAGCTTCTTGGAGTAGCTGTCCATGAGCGGTGCGAGTTCTGAAGAGCGGATGATGCGTGTGATGATAGCGATATTGTTGGCCATGAAGACACCTTGTAGGTTCTTGCCCTTCAGTAGTGTCTTTGCTTTGCCAATTAGATTCTGCAAAAGTGTGTCGACGGTATCCGCCGCATATGACCCGAACAACTTCACGCCGTCGGGGCCAACATCCAAAGTCGTGGATGAGTTGTTAGCCGATCCAGAGTTCCAGCCGCCCTCTCCCAAAGATGCCAATATCGAAGCGAGAGGTTCGAGGTAGTTGGTCATCTCTTGCAAGCGTCGCATCGTCTGCGTTGTAATGTCCACCGGACCGCCGTCGATAGGAAGCGCAATGAGACCTTGTGTTTTTGACCGTGTATCTTCGAGCATTTTGCTCAGAGACGTTTTCGACGTCTCACGAACCGGCTTCACACTATCGTAGATCTGATCCTTCAGGGCGCCAGTCTGCTTCTGCAGCCGCATCGACAGCGTACGCACGAGTCCGCAAATCTCATATCCAAGGAAGCAGTCCGTCAGCAGATTCTTCTGAATATGCCCGTTCAGCTCACGCAGCGTCTTGCTAAAGTCCTGCAGCGGGACCTGGCACGTTGACTCGTAGACATCGGCCCATTCCTCTCTGTCGAAGACGTAATTCAGGTTGTCGAACTCCGCCACGAACAGGCCCTCTATCGCTTGGACGTATGTGCCGATACCATTAGTACCCTTCTTGTACAGCGCATCTGCCTGCACCTTCCTGGCTGTGCTGATGGTCGCCTGCATGAGACTCCTCAGTGCGCTCTCTAGGTACTCGCCCCGGACGTCTGCGTATATTCTTCGTGTGGGGGTCTGCGACAGGTCGATCTGCGATAACTGGGCGAAGGACTTGGAAATGTGCGAGTTGATGCTGCGCAAGCTCTGGAGCTTATCTTGGGGCATGCGAGGGAAGGGGTTTTCTATACGATGTTAGCATATCCCCAGTCGTAGTATATAGGCGACATACGCTTCGCGACATATTCCAAGGCCTGGACCTTTTCTCTCGCGCTATCCTGCAGTATGCCGCGGAACACATCCTCCAATTGCTTGTTGCCCAGCTTCAAGAGCCCGCTAAGCTCTGCAATGGCCTGTTCGTTGGAGCGAAGGTTGGTGCGCTTGAGGTCTGCGAGACTCATGTTGGTGCGGTCGAGCGAAGCAATGTAGCCGTCCAGGTCTCCTCGTCCAGGTCCGGCGCGGATAATCCTCTCTTCCTTTGCACTTTCCTCGCGCGGGGCTCGGAGGCGGTCGATCGCGTCTATTATACGGTCGACGTTGTTGTTCGCTATCTGTAGCTTTTGCGTGTTGCCGTATATTGGGCCGATTGCTTCCTGGACTGCCTTTCCGCTCGCATCGAGCCTATTGACGGAGCCTTGAATCTTTTTGGTGAGGGTCTTCATCTTCTCCATGTTGGCGAAGAGAACTTCGACCTCCGCGCTCTCCTCCAGGAGCGCGGCTTTCCGAGGGGCGACCATGGCGACTGCTGGATAGATGCGCAACTGCCTCGAGGGCTACGTGTACGCGCGTTCGGCGGCGAGGACGACCTCGATTATATCAAACGGGCGGGTAATAATGAAGCGAACATGAAGTACAGCATATGTTTGTACAAACGAAAGAATATCCAATGGGGGAATACGACGCCGCGGTATAGGATGATGTGGGAGGGGATGCTTGCGGAGAGCTGTCGCGGAGGCAACGCTAAGACGGCCAGGGTCCAGCGTAGATCATCTCGACACCTTTCACTTTACGATAAGCCGCGCAGTCGAGTTACTCATCGTGGGTTCACGCAACGCATGCTTGTAATATGTAGAACTGCACGGCGGTCAATTTATCTGCGGGCTTTGATACCCCAGAATGACGTTTGTCACAGCGGGTACATGCGCTAATCCGCCTCGCATGTCACCGGAAACCCGCTGTCTGCGTATCACATATGTTTCGGCGACGCGTATGCGCCTTGCATTCGAGTACCACTGTGGCGCATATGAGCACAGACGGATGTTGTACAAGGGTATACAATTGAGTACTAAGTGAGTAAACTATATGCGCAGAAGCCATTATGCTTTTCATTCCATGCACGTGAAATGCTCGTCAGGGCATCGATGATACTTGAAAGAATGAAGACGAGGTAATGATGGTCGCTTGTCGAGCTGGTGGACCTTTGAGTCGTGAAGTGCGGAAAGAAAACAGTGTCGCGGAAATAAGAATAAAAGCAGAAAAGGAAATAATGTATCGCATAGATGTGCAGTGCGCAAGTCAAGACAAAACGCAGTTCACTATCACTGTCCAGGGCGACCGCCACCGAACCACTCGCGGAACTGACTCCAACCTTCATTCTGCGAGATCGGTACTGAAGGGATCAGCGGATCGAGAGCAGATGGTGCGACCGGTGCCTCATCTTCCGTCTCCTCGCGCTTGATCTTCTTCTCAGTATGCTCCTCTTCTCCGCCGACAAATCGACTCTGAACATCTTCAAGGCTGATATCGAAGTCATTGAGCAGCTTCCTCAGCTCGCCACGTGCCTGTTTGTGTTCTTCGGTCACATACGAGGAGTTCATGAGAAGCTGCTCAGCGGTATTTGAAAATCCCTCAACAAGCTCAACAGCGCTGGTGACGAAAGCCTCGCAATCGGTCTTCCACGCATCTCTCTGTTGGGTCTGGATCTTATCTTCAATATTCTTGAGGAGCGGACGCAACGCCTCACCAGGTGGACCATAGCCGTAGTTTCCATGGGTTGGGTTGCCGATGATCGAGTTCTGCAGTGCTTGTCGTTGTCGGTTGTAGATTCCTGGGCCGGCGCCGACCATGTTCCGATCTGAAACTCGGTCGTAGGAGGCCTTCATCGCAGTTGCTATCGGACAGTAGATGTCGATCTCTGTGGTGAATCGCAGATGAGTTTCTCCAAGCGAGACGCGAAGACTAGCGAGCAACATGTCATATGCCGCCTGGATGCGTCGTTCTACCAGGGCCAACTCTTCAGTGGCTTTTAGCTTCAGAGCCGGGTGTGCGGATGACTGCGTGATGGCCAATCGAGTTTCCTGCAACAGTTTCTGAAGCACCGTATACAGACTCATAGCGAATTCCACGGTGCTGGCGTCCAAGTTGTTGTACCAATTGTCCAGAAACCTTTTCATGGTACCAAGGAGCTCGTAGTTCATGTTGTAGCCCTTGTATTTTCCGGAGACCGGTTTGCCGTTCTCCGCGAGCATCTTCGCAAAGCCCGGGTAGTAGATCAAGGGATGGACCCATGAGTTCTGCACCAGCTGCTGTATGCCACTTATGATACTCTGTTCCTCATTTTGAGACCAAGGTTTTCCTACCAGAGACTGCAGAGGACTGTCAGCTATATTCTTCAAGTTGTTCCGAAGTGGTTGGATCCGAGTCTTCAAGTCGCGTCGCATCTTAGCATAACTTTTGTCTTCTATGTGCTTCTCCAAAGGTCTTTCAGCTTGTCTTCGGAATGATGGTATCGTTTCGTGGACATGTTGGTAGAAATTCTGGTAGTTGGTGGTTGCCGATAACGTAGCGAGGAAGTGTCTCAACGCGTAGATACCGGCCGTAGTATCGTCAAGAATCGGAGTGTCTCTCTGAATGCGACTTCTCGATGAGGTGTAGGCGAGTGCGGATACCGAGAAAACCTTGATTCCCTTAGGCTGCATTTGTCTCTGCACATTGGCCGTCTCATACTTTATGTACGCAACCGTGGCTTCTCTCAGTAACTCATCTAGCATGTCGGAAATGACGTAATCATCGGCATCCCCCTCTTCATAGAGACTGTCAATGGTCTCTAATCGTGCGTTCAGAGCTGGGAATGGGTGTTCGTTGATCTGTCGAATCTGTGTGCCCATGTTGTCTTCGTTGATGAGTTCCTAAAAACCATGTCAGTTGGATGCTCCAGTAGAGAAAAGGCTTCAGCTGACATCGGACTTGTTCATGACTAATATAGTCTTGTTCGCTCCTTTGAGGTGGATTGATCGATCAATATATTCATCATGCAGGACACTGGTCTGCAGTCGAGAGCATGGCGCAACCACCATCTCAAAGTCAGCCTTCCAGCGGAAGTTGTTAATGACGCCTTCACGCAACTGACTCATATCACCATAACCTATTCTCGTTAGCCTAACGTCATCCCAAAATAGCCGTTGACTTGCCTGGCAAGTCGAAGAAACGTAAACCATGCCGAAATAGTATGTGACCAGTCGCGATGGTTACAACCTTCACGAACGGCCACAGCTCCTTGATCTTGCTGGTTTTTCTCCCAAGCCTGTTGTCAGGAACGTTCTTGAAATGTGCGGTCCGAGTTTCAAGGTCCACCTCGCTCATCTCTGTGGCAAGCTGGGCGAATCGATCATTGGCTCGTTTGCAACACTCGTTCAAGAAGTTTCCCTCTTTGATGTTCGTGTGATAGAGTTCCCTCTCAAGCTCGACACCTGCCAGCTTATCTTTCTGCACATTGAAGATGATCTCGAAAAATTCCTTGGCAGTAGTGATCGCACGCGACATCGTCTTGGACAACCTTTTACGTGGCGTATGAGTAGCATTATTGTCGTCAGGATCGTCTTCGTCTTCGCCTCGGAGGGGCTGACCATTATGCTCAACGCCAGGGTAGACCTCGACCCAGTGATTCATTTGTTCCTTGATAGAATCTCTGATCTCCTCTTTGGTGAAAAACACAACTAGAAGATCGCTCAGAGTGGTGTGGTCGGTAGCTCCGGGCTTATACTCAAGTACCGTTGCATAAGCTGTGCATGCTTTTGACGAACCTGATCGATCCAGAAGGCCTCGATCGAGTAGTGCGTTGATGATGGAGCTCTTGCCAATGCCTTGCTCGCCAAGTATTGCCACACTGTAATGCCTGATGTCAGGTAGTTTTCTTGCGATTTTTGCTGCATCAATCAGATCCTGGAAGCGTTGGTCGACGGACGAATACTTCTGCATCGCACTCGTGAGCTTGTCGCACAATTCTTCGACCAAGACCTTAACTTCCTCTTGCTTCAAGGCATACCAACGGTCGTTGGCAAGTTCTTCGTCAATCGTCGCATTGTGCATGGCGGTGAGGTCCCGTTTCTGGGAAGGTGTTTGGCTCCGACCAGGCGGTCTTGTTGATGCTCGAAGTGCCATCGTATCTTGGAGGCTATTGTACGACTTGGATCAGGAATAACTTGCCCAATCGAGCCGAAAGAGTATTGGGTGTATCAATGATTCAAGAGAAAGTATGGTCGATGGGAGATGATTGTAGAGGGGAAGAAGAAGAAGGCTTGAGTTTAGAGAACTTAAGTAGCGTCCTGAGGGATGAGATACAGCCCAAGCTCAGGATGAGAGGTGAGAGAAGGGACATGCACCGACTCATGATGCCCTTTACTTACCATGTGCGGTATGCTCTGAGGTACGTACAGGTGAGTGAGGGGATTGGGAATTCTCCGCACTCTCGCCGGAGAGTAAGGTTGGTCATACCAAGCGCGTCAGAATTGGCAGGAGACTGGAGAAAGCTGCAGTCTCAATGACTGTTGCATCAGTCGAAAATAAAGACATCTCTATGCTGGTAGCGAATGGGTGTTGAAGCATGTTTGTTTGCGAGCAACCGGAGTGCCTGCGATACGAGACTGGAATAGTCCATGGACCTACCGCGTTCAAGGACCAAATTTGTGTAGCTCATGTAAGTCGCGAATAACGCGGGTGTCTTCGCCAGTGGATGGTGGAGACATGGGTTGATTGGCGGCAGGTTCAGCGTTCCTGCATGGCTTGGCAGACGTTGAGCGGGCAGTGATTCGGCTGGCGTCATGCCGAAACCAGTTCTGGCGGAATTTTGCGGGCTCAAAGCAGGTTACATGCTCCGTCATGCTTAACGCATTCCCATGGGCTCAGGTGGGCTTTGCGCACTTCCCCATGTGCCAGGCTCGCACGGCACCTCCATCCCACTCCCATTGCCCTTTCTGACTCAATTGCGTGCATGGCCGGCTATAGGAACACGCGCAACCTGGGCCACTTCTCGCTGCGGGGGACGCGTCGTGGGTAAGCTAGCACACCACCCACCCATTGTATGCCCCTGCTAATAGCACCAGCCTGCACACGAAGCACCCGCTCTCCCAGCGATCCAAGGCTGCTACTCTCGGCCTGCGGTACGGCCCTCCTTGTCTCCTCGCGACCGCTGCGACTGGCTATCTTTCTTCTGCGTCGTCGCCGTACCCACTCTTCCGTCCCATCCATCTAGACGCGCCTTCCCTCAAGCGATACTTCTTCGGCGGCAATGACAAACAAACCGAGACCACTTCGGTCGGAGACGCCGAGAGGCAGGTGAATGAGGAAGGCGAGCACAAGTCAGGTGAGCAGGAGGCGCCATCGCAGACGCGTGTTGCCAAGGGCTACAGCGAGGAGGACGAGGAAGCCGGCCAGAGCAAGTCAGCCTGGCAGACCATCACGAGCAAGTTCCCCGCCTCCCCGTCGCCTTCCAAGCTCGGCGACACCATCATCGACTACATCGTGCCGAATTGGGTCAAGGTCCTCCCTGGCTTCATCCGCAAACTGCAGGATGAGCTCTCCATGGCACCGGGCTCTCTCGCCGAAGAGATATGGTACGAAGCCAATGATCCCGAGATCAACCCAGAGATAATATGGGACGCCTCTGTGAGGGTCTCGGACGAGCTTTGCGAGGAGGAAAAGGCATTTCTGAAGCAGAGGGCGCAATTCACCAAGGCCGCACTTGCGCGATACCTCGACATCCCCGAAGCGCAAATACATCCCGACGACGTGCCCGTCATTGCCATGTGCGGTTCTGGCGGAGGGTTGCGTGCGCTCGTGGCAGGCACATCGTCATACCTCTCCTCGAAAGAACATGGTCTCTTTGACTGCGTCACCTACACGGCTGGTGTCAGTGGTAGCTGCTGGCTACAGACCCTATACTACTCGGACCTCACCCAGCGCAGCCACGCCCGCATGATCAGACACCTCAAGAACCGCCTCGGCGTGCACATTGCCTTCCCAGCCGATGCGCTCGAACTGCTCGTCAGCGCACCCACCAATAAATATCTTTTGAGCGGACTGGTCGAGAAAGCAAAGGGCATCCCAGATGCCGACTTTGGACTGGTGGACATCTACGGCGCACTGCTCGCCGCCCGCCTGCTCGTACCTAAAGGCGAACTCTCTGTTAGCGAATACGACTTCAAGGTTTCGAACCAGCGACGCTATACCGACAACGGGTCACATCCACTACCCATCTACACTGCGGTACGGCACGAAATACCGCTCGCCGAGCAAGGAGACACAACAGACCGCATCGCAGCCGAAGCAAAAGCCAGAAAAGAAGCTTGGTTTCAATGGTTCGAGTTTACGCCGTACGAGATGTGGTGCGAGGAGCTCTCTTCTGGCATACCCACCTGGGCAATGGGCCGTCAGTTCGAGAACGGACGTACAGTCTGGCGGGAGAATGGTCTAGCTCTGCCCGAAGTGCGTGTACCGTTGCTCATGGGTATCTGGGGTTCTGCCTTCTGCGCGACACTCTCACACTACTACCGAGAGATTCGACCCCTCATGCGCAGTATCACAGGTCTCGGCAGCAGTATAGACGCCATGATCGCTGAGCGCGATGATGATCTCGTCAAGGTCCACCCGATCGACCCTGCCGCCATGCCCAACTACGCGCTCGGTATGCGCGAACTCCTCCCACCGTCATGCCCTGAAAGCATCTTCGAACAAAAGAACTTCCAGTTCATGGACGCTGGAATGTCCAACAACCTTCCCATCTATCCTCTTCTCCGACCTGGACGCAACGTAGACATTCTCGTCGCGTTCGACGCTTCCGCCGATGTCAAGACCGACAACTGGCTAAAGGTTGCTGACGGTTACGCCCGTCAGCGCGGTATCAAAGGATGGCCCGTCGGCGCAGGCTGGCCACCAGACAACGAACCCATGGAAGACCTCCAGGAAGATCTCGAACGCGCACAAGCCAAGACCGAACAACAAGCCCAAACCAAATTCGAAGAAGCCAAGGACAAGAGTGCCGACGAAAACAAGGACAGCAAGAAGAGCAAAGACCTAGGCTACTGCAACATCTGGGTCGGTACCACCGAAGAACGCGAATCAGATACCGAGCACCCGATTTCGAAACAAGTAGATGAAGACTGGGAACTCATGCACCCCGCCTCTGGTATCACGGTCATATACTTCCCCTTTCTCGCCAACCCAAAGGTGCCCGGTGTTGACCCCAAGGTCAGCGACTTCATGTCGACCTGGAATTTCGTCTACACACCGGAGCAAATCGACAGTGTCGTAAACCTCGCTCGTGCCAACTACAGTGAAGGTGCCGAACGGACGAAGCGCACCGTCCGCGCTGTATACGAACGCAAGAAAGCTCAACGAGAACAACGGGAGAAGGACGAGCGGGAACGACGGTGGCGGTGGAAGTTGAGCCAAGGAAGGATAGCTGGGCGCCGTGTTGGAGGCGAGAGTGAGCATGGCGATCAATTTAGCTGATTGGCATCTGCATTAGCGGATGCCGAATGGAGGTCGTGGCAAGGAGTTCTGGCGGCAAGGTTTTGGAAACGATATAGATGACGGACGCATTATACCCACTTGGATCAAGAATGAAAACATTCACGCTTTAACACACATTGCTAGTACGGTGACGTGAGATGTACAGAAAGACGTCTGAATGCTGATGAATGATGGTATTGGGTATCAAGACCCAACAATATGGATGCTGGGCACGTCTAACGATGCGACACGATACCTCTTCCCATCCAAAACCCCCAGTCTAAACCACGATCTCATGATCTATCGCCGCGGCCCAGTGGCACATATGTCTCCATCCCCTCGTCCTCCACTTACATCTGCACCGCCCTCCCCTTCCCTTTCTCACGGCCATCTGCCGTCTTTCCCACCATTGACACACCTCCCTCCTCTTGCGCCGTCGCCGTCGCCGTCTGATTCGTAAAAGGACATGGCGGCAACACCGCACCTCCATCCACCATTTCATCCTTATCTTCAACTATCAACGTGGTATTTGTTAACAGCGGCGTGCCCAACTCCAGTTCCACATCCTTATGTACTCCGTCATTTTGAGGTTGTAGCTGTGTTTGTACCGGTACTTGGGCTTGGGCTTGGGGTTGAGCTTGAGCTTGCGCTTGTGCCTGCGCCTCTGCCTGTGCCTTGAGCATATCCGTCACCTCTTTCGAGTGACCCAAACTGACCATACCACCTCTACCCACCACTCTGTTCTCTGGCGAGATACGAGTCGCTTTGAGCGATTTGTCCTTTATCTTATACGGTCCTCGTTTCTTGGGTACATGGGGGGTTGATATGGGTTGGGCTTGTGGATGCTGAGTTGGTGCATGCTGCGCCAGTGCATATTTCAAGAGTCCATGCTGCACTGGTTCACATTGCTGTGAGGTTTGTTGTTGTTCTTGCACAGGCATACGTACACCAGCTAAGTGATCCGTATTCGGCCAAACGGGCGGATCTGGCAGTGTGTACGCGGACAATTCTTGTAGCAGTGGGGACGGTGTGCTATAGCGCTCCCCCATGTCTGAGAGACTGCCTGAGAAACTGCTTTTCGCTGAACCCGCTTTGGTAAAGGGACTCGGTGGAGGAGTCAGAAGTTGTCCGAAGCAATCTAGTAGATAGAATGGGTCTCTGGGGTCTGTAGACATGTATGGATTGTGTGCGGCTGGGTTTGCTTGCCGGGCGAGGCATGGATTTGAGTTTGGGTTGGCTTTCAATTTGTGAAAGTATTCGAGGAGTGGGGCGGCGTCCATGGGACCGGGGGCTAAGGTAGGTTAGGAAGTGTGGCTTTTGATTGTGTGGTCTTCTTGCTCACGTTGATCGAGCGCTGCATATTCAGCGTTGCCTTGTGCGCGGAGGGTGTCGACTTCTGTCTGGTGTTGCAGGACTTCTTGTCGGCGCGCGGGACACTTTTGATAGGGTCAGCTCAGTTATTTCGTGCGCTCGACAAGGCTGGGGGCACGGGTTACTTACTTTATATACTCCTCTCTCGTCGAGTTCCAACAATGTATGGCCTTCCTTGTCACACTTTTGGCATCGCTCTTGCCGCCGCTTTTTAGATGCTTCTTGCCTTTCTGCGGCTTGTCGAACCTCCCGTCCTTCAGCACGTTTTAACAGCTTGCGGGTCTGTCTCCACGAAAGGTGGTTTGGTTGTTTACTTTTACGCTTTTGAGAACGGAAAACCGGGTTAACTTCATCCATTGATTCTGCTACTTCATTATCTGAAGGCTGATGAAACGCCTACCGATCGTTACTACGTTGTACAGTGGGAAGGTGAAACATGTGAGGATGGTGAAATACTTCAGGTCCCGGCAGTGCCTGCCACTCGCCCAACAAACTAACAGGAAGCCTCTGCTGTCTCAAGAACCTGATCGCCCTCACTACTTCGGTGGGGGGAGGCTCATCCGGATCGATGATGGCATTGGAGTATCGTTTTCTGTAGTCTTTGAAGTATTGTGGGATCTCAGCCTCGGTCTCCCATACTGCGGCGTTCTCTGCCATAATCGTATCCAGCTTCGCCTTGGAGAGGCTCAGGATGCAGCATACGGGGTAGAAGCGACTGATATAGGTGCCGGGAATGAAGTCGTCCTTTATCTGCTCGATGATGGTCTGGCGTAGTGATGTCCATAGAGATTCGAATGTGACCTCCATTGTATGTTAGCCTCATGAATAATTGCAGAGCCTACATCAAGATGGAAACATGCAAAGTAGGCGGTCTAAGGCCAACGTCGGCTCCAGGGTGTTCAGTTTTCACGTACCTTGGAATCGACCATCTTAGGGTCCCAGCGACGCCTCAAGGCCACATACCAGGGATCTTTACCCGCCTCGTATTCAATCTTGAAGTGGTCTTTGATGTGTTCCATGCGCGTCTTGTCGCCGGTCTCGATAGCCGCCATCAGCTCTCTCATACCATGACCCGAGAATTTCGGGTCAAACGGCGGTGGTGGAGTGTTGGCTGGTAGCGAAGGGAACGCCGCTGGCTTCTGAGGGACATGTGTGGGCTCAGGTTCGGGTTCAGAAGCTGCTGCGCGCTGAGAGGTCCTGCTAGGGCGCATGGCGAAGTCGCGTACTACTGGCGCTGCTTGGGGCTGCTGTTCGTCGCCAGAGCGTTTCTTTACGTACTTGATGTTTGCCATTTTGCGACTCTCTTGGGAGTTTGGTGGATTGCTTGCGCTTGTTGGCGCGGGGTGGGGTGCGTTGGACATGAAGAGCGGCGAAAATGGGTGTGGTGTGAGATAAACGTCGTCGTTGGTGAAAGACGAAGATCTAAGTGAGTCTGGGTTCGGGGCCGGCGTATTTGTGCGCGAAGGTCCTTGGGAGTGGGTTTCCTCATCTTGGTCGCTCAGGTCTGTACCTTGGTCGCTAGAAGCTGGTTCTGGGGCAGTGGACTCTTCGTCAGCGGTGGACCTGTAGCGTGCAGGCTTTTTCAATTTGGCTAGATCTCGGAGGCTATAAGGCATATCGTGAACTTTAGAATGATGTGAGCGATGATTGGGTATCGATGCGTTCTAGCCCGTTGTGAACGAAGAAGATGAGGGATATTGGTAAGTGGTGACCGTAGAGTTCACCGCATCCACCATGTTTGGGCCTTTATGACACCGCATCGTGACTGCTACGCGTCTAGCGTGCAATAGCAGCCCTGTCAATACAAAGTGAAAGTCAGCGGCCATCATGGGGGCGGTACTGCCAGGGTCAAACAATATTGCAAGAGCCACAGCCACGTGCGAACACAGTGACTCTTAAAGATAAGGCAGCCACTAGGCGCTGTAATGATTCGCTAACATCTCGACCTGCGAGTGGAGAAGAGCAGTAATAGTCAATGATTTCTTTGGGAAATGATATCGGAGCGAGATGCTTCACCATGGAAGACATTCGTCTCTGCTGGTGCGTCCATGGTTGTCGCAGATGAACCTGTTTGCCCGATGATTAACACTGGTTCAACTGGCGAGCCAAGGGAAGGTGCCATACCTACCTAGGTAGCTACCTGTTCGGGGTGTCACGATGCAGACGCATAATTGACGACCTTAGAAGTGACTGTACACAGTCTGAAGTAGGAGGACAGGCATGAGTTGCAGAGCGCAAAGTGGTGTGAAGGCGCAAGGGCCGTGTATGATGAAAATTTGGACCCGTTGGTGTCGCTACCAGATACTACGGGCAGCCTGAATGGAAGGAGCAACCAACCCACGTATCCACTCATCTCATCAGAGCTCCAGAATTAACTCACACGTAACCAACCTTTCAGATGCAGACGCATCGCCATATAACGCCTTGAGATATGCAGGGTATAATGCTACTGGAACGCCTAACAAACAAATCAATAGAATCGCCGAAGCCAGGAGCCTACACCTAGCGATCCTGGAAGGGAGTGACATCACGCCCTGCAAATCGTAGCGCGTCCGACTCGTCCATACCACTGTCCATGTCCGTGTCTTCATCGTGGTCCTGCATGTCTTGGACGCTACGCTTGTGCTTGAGTGACGGGACAGGAAGCGAGAACGATCCGGCGAAACCGTGGCCGAGACCATTTTGCTGGGTCGCTTGAGCGTTCGAAGTGGCGATAGAGCGTCGTGCACCGATGATGTCCCAGTAAGCGCGCAGGATGTTCTTCAAGACGTCGTCGAAGTTGACGCAGAAGCGCTGCGCTTGGCAGACCTGCATAGCCTTGATGTAGTCAATGTCGTGGAGCGTCTGCATCAGGTAGGCTGCAACGACTGCAGCCGACTTCTCATTCCCCGATTCACAAAAGACCAGGACTTTGCCGAGAGTGGCTTGTCCTGTCGTCTCCAAGCTATGTTGTCGTACTCGTGCGACATGTGAATTGATGAGCCTCGCTGCTTCCGGGAACTGTGGTGTGAGGCTGTAGAAGCTGGGCGCCTCGATGCTGCCCACCTCCATGCAGACCTGGGAAGCCGCATTCGTCGCGCCCATCATGCTCTTAGCCTGCGCACGGATAGCCAGCACCATGGTGATGCCCTCGCGCTCTAGGAAGTCCTTGTCCCTGGCTGCCACCATGGGCCCGAGATAGACCCAGGGCAAGATCATTTGCGCCTCTCTCCGCCGCTCATAGGCCCATTCCAGCAGTGTGTTCTTCTGTATGATGTCCTCGAGGTCCAGCTCATTCAAGAAGCTCATGTCAGCATCCCCTCCAGATGCGCCACCGAGGGAGAGGCCGGGCATATCGGTGGTGAGGGTAGGCGGGGGAACCACGATACGCGGGGCTGTCGGGAGTCGGTACGAGTACTCGTGTTGGCTGCGCAAGAGTCCATTTGGAGTGTCGGACAGGGTTCTTTCTTCGCGAACTGTCGCCATGGTCATCGTGTAGGACGGGTCGAGATTCGTTGGTGGGGTTGCGTTGTGGTTTTCGATAATGGGGATGCGGATGTGTCGGTGGATGGAGGGCGACGAGAAGGTTCTGACGATTGCGCGTCACGAGAATTGCTTCTGACACAGTTGGGCGTGAAAGGTGCCAGGGTACTGTGAGCTTATATCGCGCGTTGAGGCAGGCGCAGGCAGCAACGCGCTTAGCAGAAAAGGAACTCGAACGAAACCAGATACGCGATGTCTTATACGTGTCTGAGCGAATTCGGAATGGGAGAGGTAGGTGATTTGGGACTATGAGAAACACATTTCATTGCGAGCTGCGTCTGGCCGACTGTGTTTCGCTCGTGGTGAGAGCGCGCCACCGCGCCTTCTCGTGCAACCGCGGCAGTGCTAGCCAAAAGGAGGGATATCCTCGACGTCGCTGACGTAATCTTCCCCGCTACCCACGGTTTCCCCCAGCACCGAAACCCAATACATGAGCGAGCCTGATCTTGAGCTAAATTTCCCCTGAAACATTCAGTCGTCCTTCTGACGGATGACTTGAGTCAGATACTTATGAACGCATTCGACAGTCTAAACGAATACCTGATAATATTACTGTAGTGAACAGATCTGAACAACATAGGGTACAGTATCATACAACAGCTCTTACTATATACATCTCCCACTGGAGCTCCATATTCCAACACTCTACACGATAGCAGCATACTCTAACGAGTGAAAGCTTAAGACTCTAAAAAAAAATTCCAACACTCTAGTTCCTCTGCGGCCACGCATCAACCAACCCCTCATAAACCGTCACATCGCCAAACCTCACCTCCCCACCCTCCACAAAGAAACTAACATCCGTACTATCCCCATACCAACTCCTCACCCAAGTACTAACTGCAAACCTATCATTCGCATGCACCTCAACAACACCACCGTCAACCACAATCGTCAAATCCAGCGTCTCAACCATGGTCTCATTTCCATGTCCGCCCGCAACATCAAACAGGCGGAACTTGCCCGATTCATTGTCCGTGGGGATACCGTTTGTAGTCTGTGCCGCGGCGGAAGAGTTGGAACGGTCGATGATCATGCTTTCGTTGCTGAATTGGTAGTAGATGGTTGTGGATTCTTGGGGTCCGGAAAGGATGGTGAAGCCCGCGCGTACGTCGTCAGAGCGAGAGGGGAAGGTGATGGAGGCGGTGAGCATGTAGTGTTTTGACTTTGGGCTTTCGGTGAATTTCGTTGCGTTTGCCATGGAGCCGCCGGACTGGGTTATGGTGTTTGTGGCATTGTCTTTGAATGCGGCGTAGGGCTCCCGGGCGATCTTCTGGTGGAGAGTTGCGAGCGTGACTGTGCCGTTGTCGTTCTCGCAGTCTACTCTCCATGCACCTTGCTCGCGGGAGAGCTCGTTGTCGATGACGTTTAGGTGGCCGACGCTGAGTTCACGGGGAAGCAGTAGGGATCCTGTCCAGTTTTGCTGGGGAGTTGGGAACTCATCGGTCAAGGTGCCGTAGAAGTCGCCTGTCAGCCAGAGGTATGTGATGAAGCGATCCGGAGAGCCGCTAGCTTTGCTGGCTTGTGAGTCTGCAGGAAGGACTTTACCAGCAGCAGCGTACGCGGAGCGCCCAGCATCGAGTCGCCCAGTCATTGTAGGTTCGAAAGTCAGTTTACCGTCGACGAGCTCCTGCTTTCCGGCAACCCAGAGCATCTCCCTGTTGTCCGAGACTTGAGGCACAATAGGCTCGTAACTCCATTCCGCACCGATTGTAACAAAGATCTCGCCTTCTGGGTTAGCACCTTGCTCGTCCAAAGCAAAATAGTTGGCGACTTCAAAGTTGTAGCCCCAACGTCCAGCCCAGCCCTCATCCGTCCAGGTCGAATTCGCCGCTTCATGCCACCACTCGCCCAAGTACTCCCAGGTTTGGAACAAATCCCTGTCTTCGTCGTCATATTGGGCGTACAAAAAGAGGCTCGGTCCTTTTCCGTGCACGCCACCAGAGATGACGGTATACCAGGTTCCGTCCCGCTTGCCCAACAAGCCATCAACCTGCGAGTTCTGGAACACGAATGGATCGCGGAAACCGGTGACGTTGACAGCAAACGGTGGGTCAGGGATGACAGGACCGAACTCTGATTTTGTGAAATTGCTTCCACCGTCCGTAGCAAAGGCGAGTGATTGTGTCTCGCTTCCTTTGGTATACCGGATCGTCCATTGGATTGGCAGGAAGCTGACGCTGGTGTACAGTAAAGTCGGTGTGCCGTTGACTCCCCTCTCAATCACGCTGCCATCGAAGACAGCAACGGGGTCGTTGATGCCGCCAGCGCGGATGAACGGCTCGGAGTTGGGGTTCAGGTCGTTGTATGTAACGAAGTCGTCTGTAGTCGCGCCTGATGCACCCAGATGCAGGTATCCCACGTGGAAGAGACCGGTTTCTGGGTCGGTGTAGTGCATACACGGGTCTCCGATCTGTCCAAACGCTGGGAGAACGTGGGCCTTCGGTCGCCATGTGTCGAAAAGCGACGCATTAGCTAGAGTGGAGAGATTCGGTGGAGCAGCATTGTAATCAATGGATTCTTGACGAGGAATGATATGACTTGCTGTTAGTGCTGCAAGAGACACCAAGACAGGAGATGAGCGCCTCATGGTTGTAGGAAATCGAGAGATGACAGAGGTACTTCCGCACGATGCCAACCTGCGATGCCATTCTTATTTCTACAGTCAGATCCATTCTTGCTCCGTCCCCCGATTACCCGCAAATGACGACGATAGTAAGAAAGCGCGCAAAAGCTCCCCCGCAAAAGCACCGGGAGATTACTCGGCTCAACTTGTCATCTCGCTGATTGGTTAGAAAGGTTGGAAGCCTCGCTAGCGAGTAATGTAGGAACCTGTCGGACCGAGAATCGGCTTGGTAGCACCGCGACGCGTCGTGACGCATCGGCTACCATCTTGACGACGGACGCGTCGGAACAGGTTGTGCGAGATACGAGTGTCGGTTGATGCTTGGGCAGATTCGCCCTTACGAGGCAGCAGATTCCTGCTTCTGCTTCGGAAACATGAAGAGAATATCTCCACCTTCAACTCCGGCATTCTTGAGCGGGTTGCCCTCTCCTTCTGTGCAGTTCCCGATTATCTCATCATATCCACAGC